ATGCTTTGACAAATGCCTAGAAATTCATATGACTCAACTTTTCTGTTAATTTGAAGGCTTTAATGCTTTTTTCCTTATGTTTCCCTCTTGTGTAACTCACTGTTGAAAATCGATAGTTTCCATCTTCCTTTATGTGTGAGTTGTGTTCATCACCATGTGATGATCTAGCATCTCTCTCTCTCTCTCTCCTCCCTCCTCTCTCTCTCTCTTTCTAAATACAGAGATGGCTCCTGAGTCTGAATTGCATACACCAAAGCTGAAAATTGCAGGTAATTCACATTTGTTGAGATATCCAATTTACATATATTCTTCTCTCACCGCCATTTCTTTCCAACCCAAAAGCAAATCCCACCATAATAAAGCGTCTCTCTCTCTGGGCAATGGTTTATTTTCTTCTTGTTAACGCTTACTCGAATTTCTGAATAGCCATTGCTTGTTCCAAATGTCTGGTAATACAGAAGGAATATTCAGTGATAATCATTCAGCAAAACCTCATTACTAGACATATTCGAGATCACTCAAGATTGTGGTTGTTCATGCTATTACCTTGAAAATCTAGATAGAGGTGAAGTGTAGACGAATCCACCATAATTTGCCATCGATATTACGCATGTATGAGGAACACTGCAAATTAAAAATCATGACTACTAGCAAGCACCTCCATGGAAACAAGAATCACAAGGCAATCCCTTATAGATGGCAATAGCCATTACAAGACAAATCACAGAGATCCGCAAATGTGAGCATCGGCATGTAGGTTCCAGATCCAAGTGGTAGTATTGGGGCCTGAAGGCTTGACAACTGTAGCCGATTGTTGTCGCTAACAGAAAATCGAACCTGGATCTTTGATGCACGCACACCACTCAAACCACCTGAAAATCCTACTCATGCTTGCCCGATACATTCATTTCAATTTTTTTCTAAATGGCCCATATAAATGTGAAGAAAATGAGCTTCAAGAAACCTGAAATTATGACAAAGTTTGCGCCATTATGACGCTCTGCATGAAAAAGTAAGTTTAAAACTATGAGATTTTTTTTGAGGATGATCTTGAGAGATATGAATGGTTCACTAAATTTTGCTCAACAAATTCTTAAGAGAATAAAAAACACATAAAAGGATACTAAAATGAAGCGTAACATGTTCGTGTGTTCATTGGAGTTCTTGCTATGGAATATGTAATAACAAGGAGAAGGTGGTTTGAGAGGAAAGTGATACCAGAGCTCTTTCCAAGAGTGCATGAATGAGATGATGATTCAGATAAGATGAGCATGCGTCTTGGGCATAAGGATTTGAACAAGGGAAGTTTCGCTAGATTTCTACAGTGATCTAGCCTTTTTTCTGCTGAAAATGAAAAGGAAAACCTCCTAAAACTTAACATTACTTGTCAAAAAGGAAAACCTCCTAAAATTTGGCTGGTGAGGTTTTGTATAAGGTTCCCACTTTATACTATACAAATAAGGCACATATCTAAATTTTGCCGGAAGACGTAGTTTCGGTGTCGGAAACCTTCTCATGATTTGAAAATCTATGTTCAATACTAATTATGAAACTCTAAATTCAAAAAACAATAAAGATTGAGTAGATCTATAAACATTGAAAAATCTTGAAAATAGACGGTCCAGATAACTTGTTACAAGATGCACTATTTTGAAGACTTGAAATTATTGTTTTCTTAATATCTATACATATTGAGGTTGAGATGATGATCAATTAGAGGGTTTTGCAGCTTCAAAACACCCTTTTCTATCAGATTTTTGAGGTGCACCTCACTTCTATAGTATAAAGTTACAACCTTATATATACTCATAAATGTTGGCTTTCCTGGAAATATTAATATGTCATGAAGGATGATAAAGAAACTTTGGATTCCTTGTAGTTACTCCCATGGGGATTTGGGGAGAAATCTAAGCCATGTCAACAGCGAATAGTATTTAGTGTGTTTAGTGAAGCCATGGGCATTTATAGAAGTTTCAGAACACTTGTACACAAGGCATTTGACCTTTCATTCTCATCAATGAAAATCAGTTTTTCATGGCATTAGAAGGACTAGGAGTTTCAGACCTGTTAGAAACATACTTAGGTGATGTTTAAGACATTCGGAGGTCATTTTTTCGCAAAGATATGGAAAAAAAAAATGAATTTATATTTTAATGCGACAATATATAACACCATTCACATTTTACACCATTGTGGATTAAGTTCCACAACTCTGTGTTCTATGATGCAAGCATGGAAGTGAGTCTCAAGTGAAGGAAGACTACAAACCAGCCATCCATGTCCTTGATCCATTTAGCATTAAATCATATAGAAATAATAAGCCGAATGCATTGGTTACATATTTAACTAATGCGAGTGATTGTAGGCATTGAATAGCATAAATTGTCTACCACTGACACAGGATGAGATATTTGGAGTCTTATTAACTGATTTAATAAGAAGCCAATTCATTGTTCACTTGAGAATACCTTACGAGTCCTATGCTGCAAGCCTGGATTAAGTTCCACCACTATGATTTGTGCCTGCCATGTCAATAGTTCAAGGCATTCCTGTTCCCAAAGGTTTGTATATGGTTTGCCTACTTTGATACCATGATAGACCAGATAAAATTGTATTCTCATTACTGGAATGAGAGGTTGAACCCCATGTATATAAGTACCAGAATGCAAGGACTAAATTAGCCCTTGGGGTAGAAGACAATATGATATAGCGATACAGATCAATAATACAAACTTGTCCTTGAGGCACACTCCATAAAAAGCACCTTAACAATATTGCAGAGTCCCACCATCAACGAGTAGCCGGCGACGCTATTATCACATGTCTTTTTTGAACCAACTTGCTAAGAAATACAACATCGGACATTGGAGTTCTTACAAAGTGCAAGGAACTATGAATTTATATTACCTTTCATGGTTCCTTACATGAACTATGAATTTATATTACCTTTCATGGCTCTTTACATGAATTGTTATAATGACATTCTACAGGTCCATGGCTCTTTAGATCCTCATTCTTTGAAGCCATCAATCATCATCATCATCCGAGTCTTATCCCAACTATTTGGGGTCGGCTACACGAATCATGTTCTGCCATTCCGCTCTCACAAGTCCCAACTATTTGGCTTATTTAGATCCTCCATCTTTGAAGCCATCAGCCAATATTATATAAGTTATAGAATAGGGCCAGAAAACCATTATCTTGCAGAGTACATTTTTGTGGCTACCAGCCAATGTCCCCCTAGTAAGCTTGCTTGATTAATAAATAACTGCAACTATTTTCCTCTTCAATACAGCTCCTCCAAGAAATCAGCTATTTTCTAATCTCCAAGGGATAAATTCCTCTTCGCATATTCATAGACATGTTTATTTAATGAGCTTCTTAGTGAAATAGACCCCAGATATTATGTCTTTCATGCTGGTCAGGACTCATCCACAAATACCATCTATGAGTGCATTATATGCGGAGGCTCCTTCCATATTGTTGACTAGAAATTCTTGTCTGTATGTACTGTACTTAAAAATATCAGGGTTCAAGGAATCATGATACATCTCTAACAAATCCATTGCCTCCTCTGTTCTCCCTGCCTTCTTAAGACCATTGACCAGTTTGGCGCACGTTAGAACATTTAGGTGGCACCCTCTCTTTCCCATTTCTTTGCATAATGTCAATGCTGCTTCCATATTGTCTGCCTTGCAAAGCCTGTTAATCAAAGTTTTATAGGTAACAATATCAGGGCTCAAGCCATTATGGTACATCTCCTCTAACAAAGCCATTATGTCATTGGTTCTCCCATACTTGCTCAGACAATCTATGAGTGTGTTATATGTGACATTGTCTGGGTGACACCCTCTCTTTTCCATGTCCCTACATAATTCCAATGCTAATTCAACATTATTCCCTTTGCAAAGGCCATTTATAAGGGTGTTATATGTAATAACATTGGCATTGAAGCCATTGGAATACATCTCATTTAATAAAGTCATTGCTTCCGCTAGTCTCCCCCCTTTGCTAAGACCGTCAAATAGGGTATTATACGTAACAATGTCCAGGTGACATCCTCTCTTTGCCATTTCCTTACATAACATTAATGCCTCTTTCAAATTATTGGTTTTAAAAAGCCTGTTTATAAGAGTGGTATATGTTACAACATCTGGATTTAGATCATTGTTGTACATCTCGTCTACTAAAGCCATGGCTTCCTTAATTTTACCACGCTTGCTCAAACTATTTATGAGCATGGTATATGTGACAGTATCTAGGCGGCACCCTGTCTTCCCTACTTGTCCACAAAATCTCATGGCTTTGTGATATATCTCCTCTAACAAAATTGATGCTTCCTGCTTTCTTCCTATCCTGATAAGACCATATAGAAGTACCGAGTATGTACCAACATCTAGGAAAATCCCTTTCTTCCTAATTACTCTGTGCAAGTCTAAGGCTTCTTCTATTTTATTGGCTCTGCAGAACCCATTTACAATAGAGTTGTATGTGATCTTATCTGGGTTTAGGCCTTTTTGGTGCATCTCCTCTAAAAATTCCATTGCTTCTGCTATTCTTCCATCCTTGCTGAGACCATCTATCAGTGTGGTATAAGTGACATGGTCAGGATGGCACCCTCTCTCTCTGATTTCTTTGCACAAAGCCAATGCTTGTTCCACCTTATCGGCTTTGAAGAGCATATTCATAAGACTGGTATATGTAACAACATCAGAGTTCACACCATTGTGATGCATCTCATCTAACAAATTGATAGCGATCTCTATTCTCCCTTCCTTACTAAGAGCATCCATGATCGTATTATACGTGACAATATCAGGGTGGCACCCCATCTTTCCCATTTTTTTCAGCAATTCCAAGGCTTCTTCCACATTATTCACTTTGCAGAGCATGTGTATGAGAGTGGTATATGTTACAACATCTGGGTTCAAACCATAATGGCACATCTCCTCTAACAAAGCCATAGCTTCCTCTATTCTCCCATCCTTGCAGAGGCCATCTATGAGGGTGTTATAGGTGAAGATAGTTGGATGACACCCTCTTCTCCCCATTTCTTTGTGCAATGCCAAGGCATCTTCTAAAGATTTGGTTTTGCACAACCCATTTATAAGAGTGTTATAAGAAATGGCATTAACTGAAAGTCTCTCGTTTTCCATCACATACAAGAGCTCCATAGCCCTAGCCACTTGCCCCTCCTTGCAAAGGCCCCTCATAACAATAGTCAATAGTGTAACAGAGAGAGGGTAACCCATTTTGAGAATGAGACCAACAACACCAAGTGCAAAGTTGGTTCTTTGGACATGGCAAAAACACTTGACTAAAGTGTGAAGAACACTAATATCAGGTGATATTCCAGCTTGAGCAATGGTTATATACAGGGACAGAGCTAATGCCTGCTGCCCCACTCTAGAGAGTGATTCCAACATGAAATCACAGGTAGAGAGAGAGGGTTTGTGAGTGGGGTGGAGCAGAATACCTGTGAAGAGAGAGAGTGCCTCTTTCAAGCCACCATCTCTCTTATTTTGGCAGCAATTTACAATAATTCTCTCTAACTCTCTGACTTCTGTGAAATCAGAACTCTTTCTCCCAACAACAGAGCAAAAGTTACAGGAAAGCTTGTGAAGAGAGAGAAAATAGCAAGGTGGGTAGTGATATAACAAAGAATGAAATGGTGGGAGAGGGCAAGAACTAGAGAGTCCACAGAGTGATAGAGAAATAAGAGTTCTCATCTCAAAAAATTTCATATGCAGCAAAGAGCAGCGAGAAAAGTAGACGGGCATACCTATTTCATGCGTGCGCGGCGTCCATTAATCTGTGTGTAATGTGGTTTAACACAGCGGAATGGATGGGAAGTAGTAGCAGTGGAACAAAGCATGCGTAGAGGGAGAAAAGAGAGGTTTTGTAGAGAGAGAAATAGGAAGGTGGGTGGAGAGAAAGTTCAGGGCCTAATCTTGTTGATTAAAAAGGGGAGCAGTAGACCGTAGAGCTAGAGAGACAAATTTGGAGTTTGGAAGAGAATAGTGAGAGAAGACCCTGGTCTTCTTCTTGCGTGGGAAAAAGGAGGAAAGATGTAAGGAGGAGCCTGAATCGGTTTGGCATCTGAAGAAATTCACGCTCATGTCAATTTAGGGACGGCAGTCGACCTGAGCAGGGTCCGGTTCCAGGTGTTTGGACCCAGCAGGTCGACCCAAAGTGGGTCTAGTTCCGCCACATGGTTTGGATCTGTTTCTATGTGTTGGACTCGGTCAAATGATTTGGACCTGATCCCACCCGACTTGACCTGGTATGTATAAGTACAAAATGTATGAAATATATCTAAAATATATATTACAAAAAAATATAAAATATTTTTTTTTTTTTTAAGACCCAGACCTAAGTTAGGTTTGGCTAGAAGTGTCTTGAGCTTGACTTAGGTGCAGGTCCCCCTTAGACTTAGTCGGGTTGGGTGTGAGTTAGGGTTGACCTGGACCAGACGCAACACAACCCCGTGCCACAGGTACTTATGTTCCCTTGAATATTCAATATCATAGTTTTTTAATATTTTATTTCTCTATTTTTTTTTTTTTTGGGAGTGGTATGCACAAGGTCCCAATTGTAAACAATCCAATTAAAGCGTACTTCTAAATTTTGTTATAATGTAATTTTGGTATAAATTTTTTTTGAAGAAGGCTTGAAAATTTATATTTATTTAATGAATTAGGAAAATTACAAAAAAAAAATTCTCAAAACTAGCCTTTTATACAAGTTACCCCCTTTGTTTTCTCACTTTTTACCCAAAGGATATTTTCTTAGCAAAACCCCCAACCTAAAAAGTAAAATACAAAAAAGTCTAAAGTACCCTCCTATACTTTTACCCACACCTCTCTTTTGTCTTTCCCATGAAGAGGCGGTTTGATGTATTTTATGGCAGTTCGGCAGTGTAATATCGGTTCAATAAATAATATTGACTGTCCGATCGTGGCAGTCTGGCACTAAAAAAGAATGGTCCGGTAATAGGCCCATGTGGTTCGACACTACCAAAGAGCGGCTCGACAATACGCTAATGCGGTCCAACAACAGGCCCATGCAGTCTGGCAACTAGCCCAAGTGCGGTTTGGCAATGTCAAAGAGCGGTCCAGCACTTTTTTTAGTTTAACAAGGTCCGGCAATATCAAAGAGCAGTTTGGCAGCCCATGTAAGCCCATGTGAATGTCCGGCCAAAATTAAATTTTTATGTACGAAAATAGTATTTTCATAAAAATATATATATATATATATATATTTTTACTTGGGGGGTATTTGCTAGAAAATTGTATTTTGGGGGAAAAAATGGGAAAAAAAGTTTAGTTGGAGTGAACTTGTATACAAAGTTTAGTATGAAGAGTTATTTGTAATTTTCCGAACAAAATTTTAAACTCTAAAATGGGTGCAGTTCGTATAGAGCCGAGGCTCTAAACAATCAAAGTAAAGCCCACCTTCAAATAGTATTGAGAAGTGTGGTTTCAATATTGAAATTTTTTACGATAGCTTTAAAATATAATTACATATTTAATTATAAAATTTATAGATTAAAAAATAGTGTCGATCGAGCAGATCCATGAAAACTTGAAATTTTTTGAAATTGATGGTAAAAAATTGTGTTATAAGATGCATTATTTCCAATACATAAAATCTAGTTTTTTCTCATATCCATGCATCTTGATGTCAAGATGATCGATTTGATTATATTTGAGCATCACAACAACCTCTTCTAATGATATTTTTGAGGTGGGCTCTAATTTTATTGTTTAGAGCTTCGGCTCTATGTAAACCTTTTCCCTCTAAAAATGGTTCGAATCAGTTAGATCTATAAACACATGAAAATCTTGAAAATAAACGGTCCAAATAATGTATTGCAAGACAAACTATTTCTTGGACTTTAAATCCTTTTTTCCTTCCATATTCATACATCTCGATGTTGAGATGATCAATTAGAGGGTTTTCCAATATCCAAACAACCTTTTATTGTGGATTTTTGAGGTGCACTTTTAATTCTACATTTTAAGGTTACAACCTTAAATGATTTTTTTCCATTTTTTTTCTTTCCCATTCAAAATGCCCTAAATTTTGACATTGAAAGTTGAAGTTGAAACTAATTGCCTAACTTTGGATTCTAAAGATATGAAGTGCTCTCGGAATTCCAAATACTCCTGCGAGCACTTTGTGCTTTTAAAGTCCAAAATCTAGTCACTTTGACTTTTAAGGTTCGAAACTCTGAAGATCTGAAGTGATTAGACTTTAGACCTTTAAGGTTTGAAATTTTAAAAGTCTGGAGTGACTAGACTTTGGACCTTAAAGGTCCAAAAGTTAACTCCAAAGAGCACTTCAAACCTCCAAGATTTTAAGTAACGAGACTTGGGGCCTTCAATCTTGAAAGATTAATGTCATAGGGAAAAAATTTCTTCTGGACTTTGATCAGAAGTCATTTTCACTTGAAAACCTGAATGGGGACATTTAGCTAGAGAAATAAGTAAAAAGGGTATCAAAATCAAAAACAAAAACTAGAAGGTCTCAACTTAAGTATGCCTCAAATATTGTCTTTCGAGCTCGTCTAGCTGATGATAACACGCATGTTGACACATCTACTGAGTTGAATGTCAAACTTTGTTCTATAGATGGTGAGCTCCTTCATGATCCTACATTTTACAAACAACTTATTGGCAACTTGATTTACCTGACTATCCCTCGGCCGGACATTGCTTATGTTGTTCATCTTGTCTGTAAATTGTTGAGTGCCCCTCGTTCTCTACACTTGCCAGCCCTTTTCGTATTATTCGTTATATTTGAGACATGCATGATTGTGCTCTGTTGTTTTCTTCATCTTCCACTCTTGAGTTTCGTACTTACTTTGATTCTGATTTTGCAAGGGACACTACCGATCAGAAGTCTACTACAAGTTTTCTTATTTTTCTTGGTGACTCACTTATTTATTGGAAAAGCAAGAAGCAAAAATATGTTGCTCAGTCCACAACTGAAGCTAAGTATTAAGCCATGGTTCAAACAACGGTAGAGATTGTTTAGCTTCGTTGGTTATTAGATGACTTGGGTGTGGAATTTCTGCTTCTACTCCCATATATTGTGATACAAAAGTGCGATTTATATTGCTAGAAATCCAAAATTTTATGAGCGCACCAAGGACATTGAAGTAGATTGTCATTTTGTTCGACATGAACATTTAGCTGTGAGAATTTATTTACCATATATTTCATCTTCTACACAACTTGCAGATTTTTTCACAAAATCCCATAATGCTCTTTATTTCTCAAGCCTTGTTTTCAAACTCTCACTAGTTTGCTTCCAACCATCACGGGTTTGAGGGGTAGTGTGAGATTGTATATTCTTTTTTTATTTACTTTATAGAAAAGGCTGTATTTGGATTTTTTTTCTTTTTTTTTGTATATCATATAGGCCATATGATTTTCTTTCCTTTTATGTATAACACCTATATATATATATATATATATATATATATATATATATATATAGTAGG